GGTGATCCACCCACCTCAGCCTCCCAAAGTGCTGGGATTACAGGCTTGAGCCACCGCGCCCGGCAAATCATTTCTTTTCTAACAAGTAGCCTAAAAAGTCGAGCTGCAAACATAGATAAGCAAGCTGGAAGTTTCCACAGGGGAATGCTGGCATCTATGCCAATAAAGAGCTACCTGGGGGCCAGGCATGCCCAACATAAAGTCTCCATCTTCCCTTTTTTGTTACCACATGTATAGTAATAAAGAAATGGGTAACATGGTGCAGCTCAGGCAGTGGCATAATAAAAGAATAAGGTGGGGGCTACCAGAGATTCACACCCTATGCAAATGGAACGTCTGTTCCAACCAATTTTTCTTGCCCTAAGTAAATAAAACACAGGAATTCCTCTTCACCGGCTCATCTGTAAAACCCCCTGCATTTCACTGTGGATCTAGCAACCCATTTTTCTGGGACCCCTGCCTGCACCAGAGAGCTATTTTCTTTATTTTGCCTGTTAAACTTCCATTCTCAACCTCACTCTTTGTGTGTCTGCATTCTTGTTCCCATGGCTATGAGGCAATAAACCTCAGGTGTTACTCCAGACAATGAGGCTGCTTCACAGTGACATGATCTCTGGTCACTGTAGCCTCCATCTCTGGGTTCAAGTTATTTTCATGACTCAAGCCTCCCAAGTAACTGGGACTACAGGCAGGTACCACCATGCCCAGCTAATTTTTGTATTTTAAGTAGAGATGGGGTTTCACCATGCTGGACAGGCTAATCTCGAACCTGAGCTCAAAGCAATCCACATGCCTCAGCCTCCCAAAGTGCTGAGATTACAGGCATGAGTCACTGTGTCTGGCAATTTAGACTTTATAATAAAGGTAAAGCTGATAAACTGATTAGCAAAAGAAAGATTTGATACTCATTTTGGATACATTACTTTAGAGAATTGCTCAGAAAGAGGCCAGACTAGAGGCGGGAGACCTACTGGAGACAATTTCAGCAATCAAGAAAATAAGTGGATACCCAACTGAAGGTCATTATTGCAGCAATACTGCGAAATAGATGAATTTTTGGAATACGTAAACCACATGATTTTTGAGATATTTGATATAAGGAGTGAGAGAAAAAAAGAACTCAGGAGATGTTCAGATTTTTGCTAACTCAATAAAAACACAAGTTGTGAGATACAAAACAATAAAGAAGAAGGTTTAAGGGAAGGAAGGAAAAATGAGAACATTTGATATTTCAGGAAAAATAAAGTTAGTTTGAATTCTTAAAGCCAGGTAATTTGTAGTATGAGAAAAGTAAAGCATGTTTTAAATATGTATTGTGGAGAATGGGAACATGAAATAACTAACACTGAGAACCCAGGTGCAATCGAAAATGAATGAACCAGTGCTGGCACCATCCTGACCTATTCTGTGATTTTTCACCACCAGTGCTCAGCCAGTCACATGCTGAGGCATGCAAGGACCTTCAGGTTAATCCAGGATTGATGGTGTACTGGTGAATGAAACAAGAAATCAGTGGGGCAAAGAACAAGGGAAAATGAGGCTTTGAGACAGCTGAGGGTTCAGTGTTTCAATTACAAGCACAGTAAAATAACCGAATGGAAGAGTTAAATATGTGTTTCTTGTCTGTGGCTGCATATGGGTATCACCTGGGGAGGTATATAATATACTGATCCTTGGATCTCACTTCTAGAGATTCCAGTTTAATTAATCTGAAATGCAGAAATTTTGAAAATGTCTCTGGATACTCTAAAGTGCAGCCAAGACTGAGAACAACTGAACTGTAATGGATATGGAATTAATTGGTTGTTTGACTCTAAGATTTTAAAGACGTAATGAACTATTATTATTATTATTTAAAGTCTAGGATGTAGCTTAGAGAATAGCTGGATGAAGTAGTGTGGAAGTAAAGGACACCCACAGATGTGGGAATCAAAGACCTGAGCAGAGAAGCAGATGAGCCACCTACGTGACAATAAAGTTACCCAAAGTGATGGCAAACTTGGAGGGGAGTTAGTTGTCTAGTTTAAGTTAATCTAAGATTTAAAAGACAAATAGGAACCAGAAGTTGATGATTCACTTTACAAATTATATAACTCCTTAAACAAATCTAAAACTTAATATATGTATTTATAAAATGTTAATATATTTCATATTATCTATAAAATAAATGAGATAAACTGTAAAGCCAAATCTGTGGTATTAATAAAATCAATTCAGATTACTTTATTGACCTCTTCACTGGGGAAAATGTAGTATGTTATTGGTGACCTAGAAAGCATAGAATATAGAACAGAAGCAATCTTCTGTTTGGGCAAATGGCATTTTGTGAGTATGAATTTTTAACATAAGTGAATGTGCCTACCCTTTTATCAGAGCTTCTATTTACCTCATAAGAAACTGAGTATTCCTCTTCCCTGATGTTTACCCACCTCAAGCCACTTTGTCTAAGTTAACAGTGAAAAGGAAGAAAATATTTCTAGCAATTTTTTACCTGGTCCATACACTAGCCTAGTTTCTACCAGTTGGTCAACTGGAAAGAGAATATTTATATAACACTAGACAGTATTTGACAGGGCTACACTAACAATTGCTTATACTTAGATTAGAACGTGACTTTGTGACTCTAACCAATCTCTTCCCTGCCTCCCCCAACTCCACCAACCCAGCTTCTGGTACTTATATCTATTCCATGAGATCAACTTCTTAAGTTCCTACATGAGTGAGAACATGCGATATTTGTTTTTCTGTGCTGGACTTATTTCACTTAGCATAATGACCTCCAGTTCCAAAAGATGGGCAGCCAGGAAAGGCCTTACTGAGCTGATGTTTGAATTGCAAAGAGTTATGTAACCCTTAAGTATGCATCCAATGGGCCAGCTGAGTACACAGTGATTCAATAAATTCAAACCAACATTATTCTTATTGTCAAGAGTGCCTGAAATGACAGGCCACTGGGAGCTGGTTAATTTTCCTCCCTTTCCTTAGGAGTTTAAGGAGAGCATGAGTGATTTCAGTCTTTTGCTGGAGTTCCTCAATGACACCCATTGCAGAACCTGAGCCTTCAACTCTCAATTTTTCCTTAGGTCTTGCCTGGCTTAGACTACACTTTGTAAGACACACATTCCTAGTAGTCACTACTCTCTCTTTCACAATCATGTCCTTACAGACATCGCTGATACTCGTTCATACTGACATCGGGTTCTAGTCCGAGTTCCATCACTAAGTCGCTGTTTGACTTTGGGCAAGTTACTTCTACGGTTGTTTTTCATCAACAAAATCAAAAGGTCATACTAGACGAACAACTAAGAGGCTCCAGTATTTTTTGACTCTAAGAGTTCCGTATCCCCAACTCCCTTCTCCCAGCTCATTCAACAATCCTAATGGCAGCGGGTGCCCGCAGTCTCAAAGTCTCTGAGGAAGCCCAAGTCGCAGTCTCGATCTGTCACAGCCGACGAAGCGGAGGAATTGGAGGAATCCAGCTTAAGCATTTCATGCCAAGAACACCTGACCATTCCCAGAACGCCCGCCCTCTCGGCATTTCCGGTCCCTCACAAGATCTTCTTCCGGGGCACCTACTCGCGTCTAATCACGCCCCTCATTCCGTCTTTAGGGTCCATTGGCTGTTTCATTGAGGAAGCAGAGCATCTTCTGTTGTTGATTGGTTTCCGTCATTGTTGACAGGTTAGTAACAAACAAGGCGTGCCTGGTCTCCGTGGTAACGTCCTGCCGATAGTCTTGATTGGTCGGTGTTTTAATCCCATCTTCCGTCCCAACTGCTAGTGGTTGAGCCCCTGGCGGGGCGCGGCGTTGGTAGGTGTCGCGTACTGGTTTCCCGAGCTGACGTGGCTTGAATTGGGAGGGGGGCAGCTGGAGCCTCGGGCGGCAGCACTTGTAGGTGAGTGGGGGACGCTCCCCAACTCCTCCCCTCTGCGAGTCCAACAATGGTCACCCCCGCCAGAGGGGCCGCGGGAGCTGCCCTAGCAGCTACACTGGAGTACCCTCCTCGCCCCGCCTCTCCGGGATTCAGTCCTGGATCCGGCCCTTCACCCGCCTCCTTCACCTACCAGGCCTCGTTGTAGTAGCCCGCAAACCTCTTGGCACCTCCGGAGGGCCTTCGGGGTCGCCCTGCGCAGACTCGGACCACTTGCTCACGGTCTGTCCCCTCCCCGTCACCTTTCTTCTCTGGGAGCGACCGGGAAAAGCGCCCAGATCAGTCCTGTCCGCAAGGCCTTGTTCCCGGCCTTCCTTAATCGGCCTCGGTGCGCAGCCGCTGACGTCAGAAAGAACCTGCGGGACCCCTTGCTCAGGCCCTAAACAAACTTAGTGTCGCGAAAGGGAGGCGGGACGCAAAGAAATCAAAGGTCTTGAGGGCGGAGATCACAGAATCATTGGCGATATTAATACAAACGGAGGCCTGTTCAATGATCCTGCTAATGCTAACGGGTAACTGGAAAGATGAGAAGAGAGAAAAAATCCCAACGATCCCATCAACACAAGAATTCCAGGAATCAGAGGTGGGCAGGCTGTTAGAGAAAAAGGAACCTCGAAGAGAATTCTGGAGGAAAAATAACTTGACTTGGTGGTATGGAGTATGTTTATTCTGCACAGAGTGTGAAAGAGAGGGTGGGTCCCTTGAGGAATGAGGAATATACTTGTCTGACTTATTTAAAGAGCTCCAGTTGGTCTGTGGGGAGCGGAGAGTTTGAGAGTGGGACAGAGATATTCAAAATCATAGATAAGTACTTTCACTTTTGGAGATAGTTGGAAGCTGTCCGAGTACTTAAAGGACCTTCTTACCGTGTGTTAGTTGCAGGCAAGTGGAGAGCTCTTTTCAGAACGGTGGGAGGCCTTTCCAAAAGCGTGACTTGATAAGATTTAGACGATCAGAATGGTTATGAAGGGACACACTCAGGAAATATTCTATTGGAAAAATGGCAGGATTTGGTTTTGGAATAGATGCAGGAAAAAGTTGAAGAGCACTCAGAAGTTGCAGGCATTGTACATTGACTGCTTCATAGCTTTCACTTCTCATTCCTTGACGGCAGAATGACCATTTAATGTTTTCCTCTTGACTGCATTAATTCTTTTTTACTGTCTCAGTAGTTTCCAAACATTTTAAATTGCACTCCCTGTCAGTAAAACATTTTTGAGCAAGCATCTCCCCAAATATTGTATGTTTAATTATGGATGGCATGTGACTACCACTGTAAATATGTTGTGTATAGTATGAAATATACAAAAGTAGAAACTTAATGAAATTTTTAAAAAGTCTTGTCCACACCGTGGGAATTCCCAACCCAATTTGACGATCACATAAAGGTGCTTCCCTGTTTTTCAAGAAGGCTATTGTCCTCTCTGGCATCCAGGAATGCAGCCTTTCTTAAAAATAATCATCTTTAGAAGATTTTTTTCAACTTTCTGCTTGAGGTGTATAGGCCCCTTTTCTTTTTCTCCCTTTGATTAATGGGTTAATTAAAAGGATGTTGACTTTATCCTTGTTTATAAAATGAATCATTCGTTAACTTCTGTAGGTTCACTGCTATTAGGAATACCACTGATCATTACATACCAGTCTGTGGTTAGAAACCATTATGTAAAAGGAGACTAGGCTCTATATTGCTGTGTTTTTAATTAAGCTATTTTAAAATCAGCTACATGCTTTTGATAAAGGAAATTTAATACAGAAGGATACAATGTAAAAAGAAAAATCTTTTTCATCTCTTATCTATTGATCTACCTGTCTCCATTTTCCACTTCCCAGAAGTAAACATTATACACAATTTATTGGTTATCCTTAAGAAATTTTCTGATCATAATGAAGCACATGTAAAATATATACCGCCTTCTGTCTCTCCCGAAAGTGGAATCCTAATGCTATTCTACACCTTTCTTTTGTCATTTAATACTGTATATTAGGCATTTTCAATATCCATGGATATAAAACTACCTCATCCTTATAGCTACACAGCAGTCCTCTGTAAAAATATTAAAAATGTACTTAGCCTGTCCCTTACTGATGGACATTTAGATTTTCAGTCATTAGCCATCAAAACACTGCTGTTGTGAACATCCATGTATATTTATATATTCTAGAGCCCTTGTGTGAACCTGTCTGTGATATAAGCAATATGGAATTATTGGAGGCCATACTACTATAAATCATTTTAGTCTACATACTGCTAAAAAAAAAAAAAGTACTTATCTAACTATAAACCCAGTGCCTTTATACCCTCATCCTACTTTCAACCCCAGTGAAGAATATTGGGTAATGAGATTATTTAGAAAATAAAATATTTTCTGTGTATCTTCGCCCACCAAGAAGCTTTGTTGAGCTATGTGACTGGGGAAATTACTTAACTTCCCTCTGCCTTAGTTTACTCACCTGAAAACTGGGAATACTAACAGTACTCCCTATTGCAGTTGTTGTAAGAATAAAGTGAGTTAGATCAGGTGTGGTGGCTCATGCCTGTAATCCTAGCATTTTGGGAGGCTGAGGTGGGTGAATCACTTGA